CTCGCACCCACTTCATACGCCTTCGGGAGCGATCGCTCGTTCGATGAGGGATATGCGGACGTATGGTCACCGAGGAAAAATGTTATCCTGTCGACTTGAGTGAAGAGGTCTCAGCTGGTTTCGGAACCGGTTTTCGGCGAGAAAAAGAACAGTTTTTCCCAGAGGCTGAGAACAATCGATTCTCAGTGAGGCTCCTTGGAGGAAACCGTTTTTTGAGACCGTCTCATCCCGAGCAGATCGGCTTCTCAACGCAGAATCGTCAAGAAGAGGTTCCCTTTGGCGGATATGAGAGAACCCATTCTTGAAAAAACACGTTTTTTATTCTGGAGTATGTGGTCTTATCCTTCGAGGAGTTTCGATCCCGGTCCTATTGGAAACCCGCCTTCAAGGACCGATTTCTGGAGAAAATCGTTTTTCTGTCCCGAAAACCCGGTTTTCAAAAAAACGGTTCTTTGCGGTACCCACTTCAGAGTTCCACCACGGACGCAGGGATCGTCCAAAGGCCACTCATGGGTCAGACCTTAGCCTCATGACTAGACTCATTCATACATAAGATGTGTGACCAGAATATCAGCAGTGAATAACTTCGACCGCACAATCGGCAATTGGGATTCGACATGCATGTAAATTGATCACTCTCTTCCAAGCGAGAACAACAACGAAACTATGGCTGTCTGTCCTAGTCCCGAATGTGGGATCTTCGATCGATGCAGTAAGAAAGTTGCAACGCCGAGTGTGCTATCCCGAGGTCTCCGTTCGGTAACCAATTTCTAACAGGATATTTTCGCCTGAGGTCTGGGACGAAAGCTCCAAAAGCCTGTATTCGCAGTTTCGACTTTGAGCCAATCGAGCTTGCCTTCGTTCACGTTCGGGAAGAAAGTCGAAAAGCCATCGACGCCGACTTCGATCAAGGTCCTAATATTTATGCTTGTAGGATGTGTGATATTCCTCACCCTCGTCACCACAGGAGCCATACCTCCGAGCCTACTGCCGTCTATCGTGCGTCAAAAACTTGAGCCCAAAGATGAACCACGTGAGACGTTGTCGGAAGTCGGAAGACCACCGCAGTTTTACGCCGGATGTCTTATTCCCCAGTTTCCTATTTCCGGTGTCGATTCCTGACGGTTTCGACCCGTCCGGCTTTGAGTACTCGTTCGATGGTCAGATATACGTTTAGATAGACAATGGTTCTCGCCCTCCAACAGTCCTCCGAAGAACAACAGATCGGTTAAAGTCTCAAACGAATTTTCTCTTCTCATGACCAACCGGAATTGATGAACGCTCCTTCTTATGTCAGCTAGGCCGGTGAGCAACTCTGACGAATTGATTCTCATCCTACAGTTATGAAAGCTGAGGAATTGACCAAGGTGGTCAATCAGGCGCTCGCCGTAGCCCAAAAGGAATTGTCAAAAGAGCCAGTCTTCGAAAATTCGAGGATGATGCGAGAGGCAATGTCAGACCGCAAACTTCAGAATTGCAGATTGATTGTCGCGCCGGCTCTTTCTATTGTCAAGGAGTCAATCCAAGTCAATCGCATAGGTCTGGTCCAATCGCAGGAATTCACGCGCCTGTCTCGACAGATCTTTCATTGAGTTTGAGGTCTCCCTCGCTTGAGGAAAGCTTCTGAGCCTGACCGTGCCAATATTGTACGATCAGGGAAGAGAGTCACCGCTGACATTGATGTCGGGGAGGTGACGATGGAAGCATCTCAGAACGGCAACGAAGTCCGATGCTTGGCAAACGTTCAGGCGACTGTGTCATTCGCGCATCCTGAAGAGATAATGGACCATTTCAGAGTCAAGGAAGTCGATGTGAGTAAGCTCCCTCACGACTCCCGATTCCCGATGTCACCGAATGCGGGTCCGGGAGGGATAACGAAGTCGGAATTCCTTGCAGATGATCGACATAGCTAACAAGGACATTGATTGTCCGGGGACGCGCTCACAGAACAAACGGCTGTTCCGAAGATATCTGAATACGTTCGTGGGGTCGAGACTCTTGGAGGTGGTCAGTCTCGGTTTCCGCAAGCAAGGAACCGTCCGGTCTTTCCTGGCAGAAGAAGAAGGAGCCCGACGCGAAGCTTCTCTCGCAGAAAAAGAGGGCGAACCTCAATCGCCGTAGGAAGATCCTACCCAATTAAGGGCTGAATCACCACAACAGTCTCAATCCAAACAAATGCTTTCTATTTCATCGGCTCAAATCATGAGAGAAGAGATAGGAGCCTTCCGTGTACCTGAGAGAGTTTCGCCGAAAAAATCAAGATCAGTAAGGAGAGGACCCTCATTTTCCTTAGGCGGGTTACGATTACGAACTTGCTGTGCGCATTGATGGGCGCTCCCGGGACATGGGGAACGGCCATGAGATGATTACAAAGGGAGACGAGCCATTGGCCGCTGGCCGTTGAAAATTTCATTCTACATATCATCCACCTACTTGGATACCTTGAATAATTTACACGCTTATGATACATGACTTGTAGCGAGAATTTTGTGCTTCGGGAAGGTCCTCGATCGGCCGCTGATTAGCATCGTCATCGGTCTCGATCGTGGAACTCGGATGACTCGGATCTCGGATATACCACTCCGATATCCATGTCGACCGCGTTCCCTGTGGCGGGTGATAAGAGCGCTCAGAAGCTCGAGCATTCCGAATCAATTCTGATCTCGGTTTCCGGTCTGATTCCCTCGATGAGTTCGCTAATCACAGCAGTCACGATTTCGTAATATTCGGGAGAGACTCTGATCAGATTCTCTGCGTCCCCCAATCGCTCGCGCAGAGCCTCCCCGAGCTCGACATCGGTGACCAGTTTCCTCCTGTATAGCTTCCGTAGAGCCTCACAGAGTCGCTGGATTCTCGTAGGGTTCTCAATGGCAGCGTCCAACATGAGGACGACGAACCTCTTCACACGGCGACCGCGAGTGATCTTGCCTAAACGATGCAGGAGGAGTTTCGAATTCCCGTTATCGGTGAAATTCCGAAGGATCATCCTAGCGTACGTGTCGCTTTTCAAGTCGCCATCTCTATATCTTTTGCGGGAGCTCGCGTCCGCATCAGCCGAGGCAGCTTTCGGTGGTGTTAATTCCTGATCCGTAGGGCAGGGACCAGGAGTCTTCTTGGGAGTTGATTGTCTCTTGGGAACAGTAGGCTTCTCCCTACGCGTAATCGGCGTGCTGTGTGATGGGATTCCGGGGCTTTCCCGCCCCTGGACTCCCGCAAGGAAGGAGTCTCGAGAAATGCGAGCAAGACCAGAGCAGTCAGTCGGTGTTTTCGAAGATTTCGAGCCCAATTCCGTCGCATCAGGATCATCCTGGCTGAGTGAATCATCTGGGTTCCCTGAATCCAACTCGGAAGATAGGCATTTCGAAATCGGCGAACAATTCGAGTGCATCAAGTCGAACTCGTTGGAATTGAATGAATCAAGCAGCTCGAAGCTCTTGATCGGAGACCTGTGAAGATTGAAACGGATAATGCATTGTCGATGTCGCGCATTGGCTGGAAGCGAATTATTTCACGGGACAATCTTCGAGGGGGGCGCTCGGCCGCCTTAATTAACTTACGCTGGAGCAAAGCTCCGAAGATTCACACCCAGACTGATCTGCGGCAAGCATTGGCGCTCGGAGCGCACGGGGGATGGGCGGAGTAATACCTGGGGAACCAATAATCTCATTAGCCTGATCACCTCCCCTTGCGTGTGGCCATTCAGATTATATAGGCCATTACGACTCACTAACCGGCGCGAAGTCGCGAGTTCTCATTCCTGCAGCAAACCATATTCGCTTCTGTAAGCGCGAATCCGGATAACTGGCTCGAGTCCCAATGAGTTTCCTGAGTAATACCGAGATCGAGCTCGTAAGAAAACATCTGAACTGTTGACAAGGACTGATCGATTGCGGATGCATGGCTGCTACCAGGTTCGATCTCGCAGCTCACTCTGAGCGTGGAACTTGGTCGACTGAGCATTGGCCGGGGTAGTCGCTCTTTTTCGTAGTTCGAATTCCGGAGAGAGTTCCGATAATGAGAAGAGGGTTTCCGGAGCTCGCTCGGACCCAGCTCGGACCAGGATTGCATCCGATGACCCGACGGTGTGAAGGGTGCTTCCTCTCACCTGGTCGGCAGCGATGGAATGTTTCGCATCTCAGGAAGGAATGCGGAGCCGGTCAGAATCTGAGATTCGTCATCCGAACGATCGTGCGGATTCGATATTCGCGATCTGGCTCGCGCGGTGAGCTACACACATCGCTGCAGTTAGCTTAGCTCCAGTGTGTCATTTCTCAGAGTACGACGATCCAAATCGGAGAGACTCAAAAAGGCATAGGGGACGTTCCACGGCTCGGTACCTCGGGTAGGCGATGCTCTCGTACCAGGGAGGGATAGCCGAATGATTTGAGCTCTCCGCTGATCAAGTGCACATTCTGCACAGTCACATCGACTTCGTGCCCAAATGAGATGCAGCGTGCGGTTTTTGACGGTCCGACATTCCTTTTGACCTGAATCGGGGCTCTGTCTCCCATAGATCCAGTTCGAACCGTGCTCCTGTGTGCCTGTCCTACCGTGTCCTCTTAGAGAAACCGGGAATTCAGACCAAAACAAGCGTCGCGCGTCGGGCTCAGGGGTTTCCGCTGAGGGGGAAAGACCTGAAGAGAACCGACACTTGGGCGCGGATAGAGTTTTGACATCGTCCCGCCAAGATCTCCGGAGCATTCTTTTGTAATCGATATGACTCATATCCCTCAGCATCGCGACCAGATGCGAGACCTTCGGAATACGCGATGTACCTTCGAGCTCTCAGAATCCTCCCCGTCCCGCTCAAGACGGAGACGATATACCATATGATTATTATCTATCGGTACGCTGACGCAGGATACACTTGGGAGAGCACCAAAAGTTTTCGGATTTCCTCTCTTTTATTGGAATGGTTCGAGGACGAGTGAATACCATGAAACAGCAAGATCGAAGACGACTAGGTGGTACTGAGGCCACGTTAGGTTAATCAGAACGCCTCATCCATCAATCTTCCGACAGGTTTCGGCGATGGAGTCATTCAGGTTCAGGGGCTTCAATGCGACCTGGAGGAAATTCTGCATTTCCGCGGAAGATTCGCTTGAAAAATAAATTTTCAGCGATACTGAACCAACGGCATTGACTGCGAGAGAAAAACACATAATGAGAAAGTTGATTTTCATTTCACACGAAGCGGAATACTAGAATCCCCCCCTTCCAATGCTCATTGAGAATCGGAGCTTACTCAAGCCGGTGATCAGAGTCGTGTAGAAGTTGTTCAAGGTTCCGGTATCGACTTCACTCAGCACCAGTTCATTGAGGAGCAGAACTGAACTCGTAATAGCTCTTGAAACTGAGGAAGATCACAAGTTAGATCGATCAGCGTGGAGGTCGAGACTCAAAATCCCGGGGGATGGGCATAATACCCATGGAGCATGACAAACCATTTTTTGCAGTTGCGAAGGTGTTCGTGAAACCCATGCTAAGCATTATTTTGTGGATATCCTTTCGGAGTAGTTTCGCGGCATGAGATGCCTGGGAAACAATGAGGTAGGCCGCTTGCGAGTGAAGTTCGGGAGAGCTTTATGTGCCAGAGTTCGTCCGAAATGTGCGCGGGTGCTTATGACTCACATTCTCATTCGGCGGACTCAATGAATCTGTGATGTTCGCCATGATGACCAGAGACTTGTTCAGGTTGAGGTCGGCATCCTTCAAACTAGGTTCAGCTGAGGAGAAATCACGTGTTTTCTTGAACTTCGGAAGCCTGATATCGGCGCATCTTGCTCCATGTTCCCTGATGATTCTTCACGATACTGTTCCCAAAATTATTCCCCAAGCTCACCAACGCTTTGTTTAGACGAGGTCATTCTCGCCAGGGTGATGACTTCAGGAAGCGTGGCGATTGAGGATTCGGCCGATGATACGAACATATTGTACAGAGAGAGGACGATTTCATTGTCTGCGAGCAATTCGGTAATTAATAATGGATTTGCACCGACTATTTGTTTCCCACTATCATCTCTCGAACACCGAAGTCAATTCTCACGCTAACTTATTTCGATTGTGGAGTTCCCGATGAAGACCGTCAGGGTGGCGCTCATCCCTCTTGGTTCCGGAATAGTCCGTGATTGACTCAGTTTCTGGCCGATTCGCTGGCTGCTATCCGATAGAATTTTGCCGGCATGACCTTGATGGTCATTGAAACCGAATATAACTCTATCCATGAGCTGAGCGATAATCCTGACGAACGGGATCATATTCACTGAAATCAAGAAGGAGGATGTCCGTGAGCTCCTTGGAGGGGAGAGAAGAGAACGGATCGGAGCCTCGAGCCGGAGACAGCTCTCAATCGTCGATTGGTCGATGGGAAGCCACAGTGAGCATTTTCCGTCTGACTTACGAGTTCCTTCAACAACAGCATCCACGGGGTAGATGAGTAGATTCAGAGGCGTGAACACAAGATCAAGGATGACGTTTATGAATTTCTGAATGATCTTGAGGGTTCGACCGATGCCATCGAGGATAGCCTTCGACGGGAGGTCGATGTTCTCGGTGTAACCCTGCAGAAATCTTCCCGGCAGTTCAATGGCTGTATTCAGCGTACTATTGATGCCGTCCCGACCGATCTGGTACAATCCTCTTATGGTGGATATCGTCGGCACGACGTTGATCATCAAGAGCGGCAGGAGCAAGAGATGATTCATCGCCTCTACAGAATTGTTCTCGAAATCCCTCGGCCAATTATGGAGATCCGATTTATCTTCATTCGATAATCCCTTCTCACTCGAAAACCTCGGTCGAGGATCTCATCTTCTTCCTTCTTCTTTCAACGAAGAATCGATCTATACCACTGATATCCTGCCTCTGTTCTAAGCCTGACGCATGGATCTTAGGCAGTCCCCGTACATACGCTGAAAACAGAGTTCACCCCGAGATCATGGTCACGGTTCCAAGCGACATATAGCGCGGCGGAGGAAACGATTACATTTCACTACTTGCATTTCCGGAAAAAAATCCGCTTGAGCACTTTCCTCTGCAAATCGAGAGATGAATCCGAGACCGAACTCGCGGAACTCTAAATTCTGTCCAGATTACTTTAGACCGAATCATCCGCCACTGCACGATTCGAAATCGTGAGCACTCAAGTCCTCCTGCTTTGCTGTTTCAGTATCGAAAGGGTATCGCTTTCGGCCCAGATCATAAGAGGAATCCCGTCCAACGATCGGTACTGATGCGGCAGCCTCTCACTAAAACGATCCGTGAGCGGTACCGGCGTTATGCGTTCTTTCTATGTCTAAAATTATGGAATCAAAAATGATAGCCGCGCTGTATTCATCGATGACGCCGGTCGATTAGATCATGAGCAGCCGAGAAAATTGGAAGGCTCTGCTTGAAGGCTTCCTTATGTGTACGCGGTGATATTTCGGAATAGGGTTGAACACTGGGACGCAGTTAGGTATGGAATGATCCTTGGTGAAATCTTCCAGGATCCCGGTCGGAATTCGATTGAATGGCCTAAGCCTAGCAGAGCAGCGTTCCTTTCAGCAATCCCCTCCTCCAACTCTCGTCCGAGTTTCTCGAGAGAAAACCTCGACGATTCTCGGAGCTTGAGCTCGCGACGTCTTCATAGAGCCGCGCCACTTCATCCGAGGGCGTTTTTCTTCTCTCAAGCACAACTTCTGAAGATCTCTAAAAGACTTCTCCACGGCCGATATCCCCGGGGATCGCGCAGAGGAAGTGCCTTGTACAGGGTGGTCATTTTTAGTCGGGACTTTTTTTCCCTCTGCTCGTCCCGGCCCTAACTTTTGAACGGCTGGATGAAACTATATGAAATAACCCACCAATCAACAGCTCTGGCCCTGACTGACACGATTCCGTCCCCAGCGGTGACGATTTCGGCCAGTATCACCTGTTGCGGGCGTTTTGGAAATGATCGGTCACTTTTTTCTCGTCGCTCCACGAAAACGCCTCTTTCTCGGCGACCGCTTGGTCGATCGGGCTCAACCTGGTTGCGTTCGACGCGGGACAACCTGGCGGAGGTATGCCATAAAAAAATTCAGGTACCATGTTCCTGGGGGAAACGCGGAAGGGGTAAACTTTGGTTTGAAAATTGGACAAATTTACCAAAATTCCGGGTTGTCGCTAAACTCAGTCGATAACTCCTCAGGGAAGCCGAATTCGAAAATTTTCATGATGGCTAAAAGTGACTCAAAAAGGGCCAATTCACCCGATCTGGGGGTCAGCGGGCTGATCGGACGACTTTTTTTTCCTCCGAAAATCGTCATCTCGAAATTCTCCTCGTGGAACGCGGAATACCGCTTGGGAGCGCTGATGTTGTGTTCAAGCGCGCGCTCCAGCCTCTCAGCATGCTTCCGAGCGATGGCGCTCTCGGATTTCCAACGGTCGGAATCCGCCGGCATCAGCCATTTTGAAAATGGAAGAGTGTGAGGGAAGAGTTGAAACGCCACGCGGTCCTCGCCAGTTTGGTGGAAGGTAAGACGCCCCAGGAGATCATCTCTTCCCAACGGTGGTTCCTGCTTGGTCCGGCTTCAGCCATCTTGCAGATATCAACTTGAGAGTCCGGAGAACACAATGAATTCACTGAGATCACGGCTGTGGCAGTTGCGTATCACAGATTGCAGCGATCCCGAATTCGACAGCGAAATGATGCACAGAGGACTCGCGCGGCTCTTCCCTTTTCAAAATGGCTGATGCCGGCGGATTCCGACCGTTGGAAATCCGAGAGCGCCATCGCTCGGAAGCATGCTGAGAGGCTGGAGCGCGCTTGAACACAACATCAGCGCTCCCGAGCGGTATTCCGCGTTCCACGAGGAGAATTTCGAGATGACGATTTTCGGAGGAAAAAAAAAGTCGTCCGATCAGCCCGCTGACCCCCAGATCGGGTGAATTGGCCCTTTTTGAGCACTTTTAGCCATCATGAAAATTTTCGAATTCGGCTTCCCTGAGGAGTTATCGACTGAGTTTAGCGACAACCCGGAATTTTGGTAAATTTGTCCAATTTTCAAACCAAAGTTTACCCCTTCCGCGTTTCCCCCAGGAACATGGTACCTGAATTTTTTTATGGCATACCTCCGCCAGGTTGTCCCGCGTCGAACGCAACCAGGTTGAGCCCGATCGACCAAGCGGTCGCCGAGAAAGAGGCGTTTTCGTGGAGCGACGAGAAAAAAGTGACCGATCATTTCCAAAACGCCCGCAACAGGTGATACTGGCCGAAATTGTCACCGCTGGGGACGGAATCGTGTCAGTCAGGGCCAGAGCTGTTGATTGGTGGGTTATTTCATATAGTTTCATCCAGCCGTTCAAAAGTTAGGGCCGGGACGAGCAGAGGGAAAAAAAGTCCCGACTAAAAATGACCACCCTGTACACTCCTTTCTCTTCTGAGAAACGTTCTTCATCGTACTTTGGGCGGCGACGTGTGATAATGAAGACCAATTCTGGCTCCCTGGTATGCCCAATGGCACTGCTCGATTGCCCAAGCATTTTCTCCTTAGCTTAGCCTCCATCCGCAGAGCCAAGAAAGATACATCGACGAATGGACAGATTCGAAGAGATGGCTCTACCATTGCTCGCGATCCATACACCGTGAAGGGTCGTTGCACTGTAACTCTCTCTCCGCTTGAGCGAAGGAGAGGGCAAGCTAGAATCACAACAACTCGGGAGCGAGCCAGACGATGTTACCGGCGCGACGAAAGCTTCGATTTTCCGCTCGAAAATAGCAGCATTTCTCTCCCGGTGCGAAAGATTCGAGGAAGTTGCGAGCTTTTCACTCTTCGATGCTCTCTGCCTGATGCGGATCTCAGGCCGGTCCGGAGCAAGTCTCGTAGTCGGGGGAGAGCCCCCAGCGGATATTTTGTGAGGTTCCGTTTTGTAGATGCAAACAGCAGACACGCGTTTAGAATCCCCATAGATCCAGGTTCCATTGAGAATGGACTCGCCGGGAGCGCTCATTCTACCCATTAGAGAGTAAGTGACGCAAGCTGACATCTGCGAGGGAGGGTACACCGTGGAGCTGAATCGTTGTCAAGGAATTCGTCGGGGCTGGTCTGGCGAACGATTATACATAGCGTGGAGCTCTCGGTTCTTCGATCTGATCCTTCGGCGCACCGGATTCATCTCTCGGAGAGCTCAATGACTTTTGCAGAGCAAGAAATGAATCGCAATGTGGCATCCTTTGCCATGCCGAATTCGGATCAACAACCCCATCAGAAATTGGGGGAGAAACGTCCTCTGTCAGCTGCGAAAGATCCCGTCAGCAACCTCAACGATGAATTGGGAGACGCGAACTGCGTCAAGCGTAGAAATCTTGGTGCCCCTCCTGTTCCGTCTGTGAATGTGACTAGGAATGTTCAGGACTCGTATCGGTGTATAGCTTGTAGATTCTGACTCTGTATTGTGGCTCCGCGTCATTGGATATCTCAAATAAATATTCTAATTCAAGAGCACGCTCTACCGTTTTTCGGGCTTCTTAACCCTGCGCTTCTGATAGAGACTGCTCGTTTGGTAGAGGCTGCCCTTTTACTTTTCCCATTCGCTTAGAAACAGATGGAGTGAAGTTCCTTCAGAGTGCCATCACCGCGGGATTCATCATGCGGAATAGTCTATAGAGAACCTTACCTCTCTCTTTCAGTCTCTCGGACAATGAAACCGGACTTTCGGCTCCAGACGATGCCCGCTCTCCAACAAGAATGTTCACGGTGTCCGAGGGAGATTCTCACTTTTCTTGCTAGCTTGAGCAACTTAACATTTGAGGATCGAAGGTCGGGTCGATATTGATCTCACTGTGAGCTGTGGGCTGGAGTGTCCCTTCTGCTTGAAAATCCCGAGCATATATCCGAATACCTCGTCGATAATAAAAAAATCTCATTTTTAAAACTACGTCTCATCCGCCTCCCTCCAGCACGATGCATATGATCATCAGCATCAGCTCCAGATGATCGCCGCGCTCTGATCTCGTCTGGAAGAAGATTGTCCATCCCTTGACAGCCAGAAATCTCCAGGAGTCCAGGATGCGCCAGCGCTGTCTTGTACTGTCCAGCGTCGTCCGGATGCGATGGATTCCCGGAAATATGAACATATATTCTACGAGGATGGAAATGAACAGAATTCTCCAGACTCCCCTCGTCGGGGAAAAGTGATAGATGGGATAGCAGCGACCATCGCCAACAAGGATCGCCCCTCATCATTATAGATTACGCGAAAACGTGCTCATGCTGGGCTTCCCGACTATCATGGTGCCTCGGAATTCCGTCCGCCGTAAGCATCTAGCGAGGGCTCAACGGGCACCATCATTCCTTGGAGCTTTCGGATGACGCTGATTGGGTTCCTCTCTCCACGAGGATGCCGCTCGCTTCATGGCTACTATGGAATTCCCGTTTTTTTTGGGGACGGCGACCTGCAGAACATACGAGTCTGCGTCGGCATCCCATCTGTATTCGATACGGCCGAATCGCAGAAGAAGATGAAGCTACCCATAATTTCCGACCTATTACCCGCCGATGGGTGGAGCGGAAAGCGCGAGGAATCGAAATCTCTATCGCACTCCTGTGGAAGATCGTTAACCTCTCCATGAACTCCTCGGACAGCCACAAATCTTCCTGCAGGGATTCTAGTGTGCGATCTGAGGTTCAGATTGTGAATATCGTCAGACGTTGAACTTGCCGATCCTCTCTCTTTGCCCTGTAAGAAGCTCTCGAAATGGATTTATCCCAGAGGATTCTCACATGTTTATGTATCTTGCTATGCAACATAGCCTTGATGCGCGAGTACGCTCACAGAGACTCATTCTGACTTCTTTGCCATAAACGCGGCGGAACGGCGCTACCTGCGCCTCCCAGCATCCCGCGTCTTCGCAAGACATGCGATTCAGCAGTCCCACCACGGAACACTTGTCGAGTATTGTGGACCAGGATATTGCCGCGTGCGCCAGATCCCATTCTGAAGAATGACCTCGGACTAAAGCGATACAATGTTTCGGAAGAACCCTGGTAGCACTACGATGCAGACTTCGTCCGGAACTCACCGATCATGGAGCAGATCTTCGATAATATGCGAAGTATTGCATAAACGCCCCACAGCCTCTTGTGTGCATGGGTCTGAGGAGGATTCGGAGCGGCTCGGAAGAGATCAGCGGACATGCATGTTCCATTGACCCGGGAGGGTGTCGGTGCAAAGTACATATTATGCAGAGAAAAGTATTATGGAGAGATCGGACTCCAGAAGCGAGATGCATCGCTGCCTCGCTTGCGAAACCCGACCTGCACAACGTATTCGGCCAGTTCTGCCGGGCGGTTACATAAATCATGAGCTCACCGATCGCAAACTGAAACTCCGGTGAGACAGACAAACTGATTCGATCCGCAATCGAGTTCACCATAGACGGGAATTCACGATCGGGGGAAGCCCACACTATGCCTGATACTGTACTGATATTATACTGTCGACTCTTCCTTCCAACTCGTGGAATGTAGGGTAAACCTCGGCGCTGCAATCCAAGAGCTCCCGAGGCCGACTGCCGTCTCCTATATCATAAGTCGCGTGGGGCAATGTGTACACGCCGACCAAGAGGTCAGGCTGCAGATGGCTTGTCTAGACGGGGAGATCTGCGCTGGGCCCGGCATTGAAGCTCCGACCCAGGATCTCTTCATCTGGGTATTATCAACTTTTCCGTCGTGCGCGTGTTGATTTAGGAGACGAGGGACGACTCACTTCAGCTTTCAACCATTCCCGCCCGGTAGAGTCTTCATTGTGACCGCCATGGGGCGCCACCAGCCGCTGTTCGGCATTTAGTGGGCGAAGAACATTGCGTTTTCGCCGGGTTTGTTTGTGCGCTTTTCCACGAGAAAGATTTCGCTTTTCGGCCCGAATTTTCGACGAAAACTGTTCATCGTGACGCCGGACACTCGATCGATCATCAATCGCTAACTGTCGATCCCGTTTTGGAGGCACTGCCGGTATTGTGTTGTGCCGATGATCAGCTCCATACCGCTGACTTCAGGAAAGAGAGCGTAAAAAGCCCGCGCGATCCGCCGTCGATCTAGCTGAGAAGAAAACACTTGACAATCAATTCTTCCTTTTTCGACTGATATCCTCCCTTTGAGGATGCCGACCATGTCGAGCTTACTCCAGGTGAGTTTTCTGCCCGTGAGCTATCGGAATTTTCCTGAATTCCACAGTCGATGGGCGCGTGGAAGCACCTGCCAACCGGTACATGGGAGGGTTCCTTGGAACGAAACTTTCAAAGAGAAATATGACTCTCGATTTCATAGATTTAGGGGAGCTCTGCCTCCCGAGACGGATCCATAATCAACAATTCTACTTGACGAAATCCTCCGCAGAAAATTCCGCAGATCATCGGATTCTGTTTCCCAATTGAACCTGGCTTATCTAGATTCGTTATCAAGAAGAGAGATTCCCCTCAGGTTAAGCGTTAACGCTCGAAAGGCATCATTCTTGACGGGACCTCCCTACAGCGAAGACCGCGGTTGATATAGTCGGACCTGCCCGTCCGAAACAACGGCCACCGGCTGGCCATGAGGTTTGCCTTTCGAGGCAGCCCGACCTCAGCAGCTGTCTGACCACGGTCTTGAATTTATCGTCCGCCTTGGTCACCAGACCTTCATTAAATGAGTTCCGAACAATCGAACAGGGAGTGCTTTGTGTTTTCGCTTCCATGGAAAAGAGAGAGGCATTGAGCGTGCCAAGTGCCCATTCTCTTGAATGACCGACTCGGATGAAGGGACTCATCGTCAGAAATATTCCCCCAATCCTGGAACGTAGATTCTAGTGATGACGATGAGTGAAGGGTAGAGATATCATCGGAGACTGGACACTCCAATTTTCTACAGGCCTCGAGTGAAAGGTGTCGAGTCGATACCAACCATTTTCCTTGACAAGGAGCGAGCAGAGTTGGGAGAGGGAGGGTGTTTCTTAATCGTGCCGTCCGCGTTGCTGTCGGTCTATCCTCGCGAGGATGATTGTCGGAGCTCTCCGTCACCGCCTTCTCCCTCGGTGGAGCAGAGTTGGGATAGCGAAGCTAGGGGGAGGCTCATTTTTTGACCCATTCGGAAAAGTTTCGTGGGGAGTCGAGTTGATTATCCGAGTGATACTCCATTCATCTACGGTCCACTTAGCGAGCGACGCGATATTCATGATCGTGAAGTAAAATCATGTAGGTAGTTAATAAATAATCGAGGGTAATCTTTCGGCACCTACTAGCGGTCGAATCGCTGGCAGCGACGTTGTGTCGCGACACAGCACACCACTTAATCATTCGACGACGTCGCCCCAAGACCCGTCACGCATGGAGCATTCGCCAGGGGGAAGGTCGCACGAGAGCTCAAGCAATGGAGGATGCCTCTCATTTTCTCTCACATCTCACGAGTGACTTTCGTGGCTGGTACAGCAGCGATCGGAGAAGATTCTTCGTCGTTTCGTCAAATTGTTTCCGCGAACCAAAACAAGACTTTTCCCAAAATGGACTGATCGGAGATTCCTTACGCGGTCATTAAACTCTCTGGGGGAACGATATCTGGAATGAGAAGAGCGTGCACCCAGCAGCGATGCAGATGCTCCCAGAAGTCTTCCGTTGGAATGGCATTATCTCCTGTCCCCCGTGTTCTCTTTCTGGGGCCGAAATAAAAACCAGACTTCTTGCCGCAGAAAGAAGCGAATTTGTTCAGTTCAGAGCTCGTCTATACCGAATTTCGGATAGAAGCTATCCATGAATAGGGAACTGCCACCACTGGCCCGCAAACTATAGTCGGTAAGATGCTCCGCTTAGTGAGCGAACAAAAAATCCCCGCTCGATCTGCTACTCTGCTCAGCTATTGATAGTCGGTCTGGTCGGCCACAACACTTCGGATGGTAAGGTTGTGCCGCTGCTGTGTTCGGTTTCGACGAAGTAGGCCGCATTTCGTTTCTATCCGTCTTGTTCGTCGGCACAGATCGCGCAGCGACCGATGATACGGCCCGCGATCTCATTCATTCATTGGTTGAAGTTTTTACTCCTTTGGCGAGAGAGAGCTTTCGGTAAACTATCGGCACTATCGACCATCCGATTCATCCAATTATCGAACGAGCGATCCCGGTTGGAGATTGAGCCAGAGTTTCGTGAAGGGTCCCCCATCTGAGCCGTTTCAGATCTCGCGCGAATCAATTGCTCGCTTGCTACGACTTGTTACAACTTCATTAATGGGGCGACAGCGGTCCAGAAATGGCCTTCGCTGGCCTAGGACTGGGAAGATCCGGAGCGGCGTGCCCGGACATGTTTGACATGTTTGAGCAAAAGAGATCGTATTGCTCGGCCGATTCGGGGGGAGGGGGAAGGGATCCCAGTCAAGATATTGGTGAGGGAGAAAAACCCATAGAATCCCCTGTGGTACAACCGCGATCAGCATTGAGTTTTGACTCCGTAGATGACGTACGAAGTACATAGTCTGCTTTGATCCCGACAGAGTCAGAATGTTTGTCGCGAAGTGAAACGTATCAAAGATATAACGATCGACTCCCATTTGACATGTGCTGTCTCTTGCGGATTCGTATCCTCGACGTTTCTCCCGTTCGTCTGAGCGAGCCAGAACCTTCGTCTTCGCCACAAAACCATGATCCCATTCGGTGTCGCGACCGTCGTCATCTCAGGGGGACATGTTGTGCCTCGCAAAGAGGCAGGGAGCGAGTTCTCGGGATATTCTGTCCAAGAAGCTTGTCCGGATGCCTCGTTCGGTGCGACACATATCCGCAGCAGCAATCAAAGGCGAAAAGTTGCAGATATCCAACTTTTCGCGAGGGTTTAAAGCGACCCCGGAGGTGCTGCTTTGATGGATTACTTTTCATGCTGCCAAGCCCGAATGGATGATGTGGGGTTAGCCTCGAAATTCGAGAGTTTTTCTCGCCCGGACTTCTCTCCATCCAAAACTTATTTGCTTTTCTCAATGTCGAGCTCTCATTCCACGAGTGCTGCGATCAAGGATTCGGCGATTTGCCGCGAGGCATTGCGTGCAGCGTTCCGCATCCGAGTAAAAAAAAACGGTCGCAGTGCTCTCGAGCCACAAAACGCAGTGATTGATACGGCGGGGCAGGTACTCCAGAAGAAGACTCCAGCGATCGCATGCGAATCATTAGCCTCAGAGTATCGCCCTCCAATTACTCACCGAGTCAGCCGCGAAGTGAAATATATTGCTCCGAGGAAATCCACAACGGAGTGCTTTCGTAGGTTCTCTATTATTAGTTCTCCGTGCAGCTCCGCTCCCATGGTGGTCTCCGAGTTTCCGAGTAGCGTTCGGCGCGAACTCGATCTCATTGACTCGTCGACATGAGGATTCGTGTATCCTGCGGTTTTTTTGTCCCTTCGATGATCGTGGACTCCTCAGCTGTCGAGGTTCCGAATTCAAATGGTGCCCGATTCCCTGGACGCAGTCGCCTAGACTGAACGAATCGAGGTAGCGATCTACGATTCTCTGCGGATCCAGTTTAATCTTAGCTCGACGGTCCAGGTCGACCGACGAGCGGGCGGGAGGCTCGCTGTTCGGTCGTCCTCCCTGCTCCTCGGTCATGATTTACGCTTTGACTGAGTGTTCCCGATTGCTACAAGCGAGCAAGCCGGCTGCGCAGCATTAGGTTCTTTCCTGCCCCGGAGTTGATTTTATGAACCTCCGCTGACGTGCCGACGCTTCCTTTCCTCTCAAAGTTCTACCGAAGTTACGTTCGAGTCCAACTCAATTCCATGGGAGCAGCCTCGGTGCTCGAGTCCGGGGGAGGGGGAGCGGGAGAAGCAGTAGTGTGTAGGTACTACTCGGAGCAATCGCTCCGAGTCTGTTTGATTGCGGATGCACGACTAGCACGATCAATCGGATATCCTCGTTTTTTTCTTGACGGCAACCGTCCCACCGTCTCTAATCCACTTATTGTACCCGGTTCTCTTGACTACAAGTTCCGATGAGTGTCGTCGTACGACCGGTGACGTTTCACACTGGCTCTACGGCAAGAAGATGAATACCCTCTGCGTCCTTCAGAACATCAGACGTCGTCGATTCTCGCTACCGATGTCGACGAAACGGCCGACGCAGGCAGGGAGAACAGCCTAATGCAGCCTGCCAAATTAATTTACCGCACACAGGTTCTATATCGATAAACTCTCACCGCACCGAGTATTGCGACGCCAGCTGGCAGCGTGAAGGGAAACGAGGGTTCCGTTCCCTCGGAGGTTTATTCCCGCATTGTTTGGGCCGGTCCCATCGCTGCGTATTCTGCTTCGACTTATCCTTCCCTCGGGAACGGACTGTCTGAATTGAATCATTCTTGCCGCTCGCGTACTGGAATCCACTCGATCAGGCCCGGAGCCGAGCCAGTGGAACAGTCGAATTCACGATAATCTGATGGAGTACGAACTCTAAATCTCTCTGGCACTTGGAAAATGACTTTGCTCGCTTCACCGAAAGTTCGTCGTTAGGGGCCTCGCTCGAAGCAGGATTGAATCATTGCAACGCTGTGCTCCCATAGACCCGCTCATCGGGAATCCGAGAATCGAGTCTTCCAGGACGAGATCCGAACCACAGTTTGATGTGCTGGTAATGTGTGAAAGTCTGACTGATGTTAGTGATGATCGCTGCCATGAGACCTGATTCTCAGATCACCCAAAGGATCGCCCGGGGTCACAAACCCCGAGACAGACTGCTGGAATATTCGTTGTGTTCTGCCGACTCGGCGAATAGCTGCTTTCGAGCAAGCCTACGACCGTGTGGGCCGGCGATGAGTTTGGGAAGCAAGGGGATCGCGCATGCAGGCACGCGGAGGCAGGGAAAAAGGTCAGGAAAAACGTCCGCATTCCAACGCGTTCAGGGTGGTTGGTCGTATCAGCGGCCGAGGTGGGGGTCGGTTGGCTAGCAAACAGGCACGCGCAGGCTCGTAGGACGCGTACAGCCGGGCCTTTCACCAAATTAATAGTCTTCGATGTTCAGACCTGTCGTAGGCGCCGACAACCAAGGCAGCTGCCGCAGCCGTTGATGACTGCAGTGAAACGCCGCACTAGCTATATTATTGGGTCGCAAGAAATCCGTTCGAAAATCAATTAAAGCCTCTGAGCGAGCTACCCAAACCTGAGGGAATCTACTGCTTTCGATGTTGAGCCTATCGTCGCCGCGATTCCCTGCTCCGCACCTTCTCCGCGGTGTTCGACCTCTTGTCGTATCGGGGGAAGTCATTCCAGAGCCGCAGAAAATCGAGCAGATCGTGTTCCTGTGGCCCAGTTTTCGCTCCTGCCGCGGCTCGGTGGAGCAACCCTCAAAGTCAGAAAGTTCATTTTCTCAAGTTTCTTCATTTTCCTCACAGAGCATCAAGCTCGTCGCGCGAGCTGCCAACACTAGCGGGGATGATCGGGCGAAAAAAGAGACATCTTCCTCGTTTTTCGACAAGGAAGATGAAAAAAATTGTCGAAACATGACCTTCGAAGAGCAGGTGGTCTATAAAACGCAGAAGATGTATCGTGATCCGGAAAACGGTGAGTATCTCTTGCTTCTCTTTTTCGCTCCTATGTATCCCAGGCTCCCAGCTTGTGCCATATGAAAGTTCATCTCCTACTTTCTCTATTGCTAATATTATTCCCATCTCCATCATTATCATATTGGTATATGTCGCGGCCCCAAGCTGGCTGAGGAAATGAACAACGGATGACCCATTCGCATGCAGGTCGCGTTGCACAAACCCACAGACGGAATATCTGGGCCTTGAGCGCACTATGCTGCCAGGAAACGTCAAGCCACGCGGCTGCCGTCCGGGCTACTAAGTGCTGCTCGGCGGGACCACGTCAAGCCACGCAAAGCTCTAGTGAAGCGTTTTCCGGAGCCTAGATTGAATATTAATATGATTCGTCGTCGTATGATCCAGCACTAGTTTATGCGTAGAAACGTTGCCCACCACTGGTCATTATACCACTACGTGTACGGCGTTCGTCGTCCTACGCTGCACGAAGAAGGGCGTTCTGCTCTGCTTGCTACTCTCTGGCGCCAGGCGTAACGTAGGCTGTCGAGCGTATTATCAGCTGGCGGTGGCGACGACGACTCGTTTGTGGAGGACGTGAAGCGAAGCGTCGTGCAGGTTCAATCAGTCTGAATTCGTTTTTGCTCCGGTGAAATTACTCGCTCCCGCCTTTCTGTTATTTCAATGCTCCGGCCTACTGTATCCCACCATTTCGGATGTCGCGTCGCGAGAGAATTCCAAGAGACTTCTTCATCCTCTCTCGCATCTCCTCCGGGATGCATATCATCTCGGATATTCGACAGGCTGATCGGCCTCCTCTTCGAGTGTTTTGAGAACGGCTCACTCAGTCAGATGTTGGGGTCGAATGGTGCAGAAGTCTCCACTGATGGAGCACATCGACTCCGATAGTTGCCTTGGTGAATACAAACACCAGCCCGCACGTTACGGAACTAGGCTGCGCAATATAGTTGTTGGCCCTCTTTGTTACATATGCTAATTTCCGATGCATATCGAGCCGCGCTCTCAGTGAGACCATCAACCACGACCCGTGGAGGTCCTCACTCATTGATCTGGGTCAAGAGGATCGAGCTCGAATTCCCCTCCTCGTACTGTCCCATCGATTCTCATAAACTTCTTGAATTATGTTTCGGCCATTTGCTTTGCTCGGATGGTTCCGCGTAAACTCATTCCCCTTGTGGAGGGTGGAATAGTTTGAGTTGAGAAATGTCGATGAAATCCTCTGCTGCTGTGGGAGTTTCTTCGCTTGTGAAATCAAATTCCAAAACGGAGACCGCGTCGATCTCTATGTTCACTCAGGCTGGGCGTCGGCGTCGTCATCCTTCTGGGTACGAGCGCGGAGCAGAACTCAAAGGTTACCACGATAAGATTTCAAGGCTTTATTGGGAGTTTGTTGTTCGGCATTCACCTCGGCTCTGTATCAGCGATGTGTCGCTCTCGAATCTACAGCGGATGCTGTACCGCCAGCACGACCGGAAAATCTTAGACGACCGAGGGACCGTTAGCCGGTCGTCGGCGGCACTCTCTGGCTCGTTTTCTAGCGGTTCCTTCGGACAGGCAGCGGGTAGGCGGAACCCGAAACTAAAATACCACAACGCGAATCAGCGAGCTAGCCCGCCCGCTCTGCCCGCTGGCGGAGTGGCCGGTCCGCCATTGTTATCAGCAGCCAACAGACGCGCTTTGATAACAGCAGAGGTTGGCTTCGAACGGAGCAAAAATTGATTGGCTTCTCTCGTTGGCTGTTAACGGTTCTTGTGTTTCATCGGAGCTGTTTCACTGTCTTTCGCTTGTTTGTCTCACTTCGATTGCTCGACTGAATCCGGGTATCCTTCGTCTCTGGATTGGAAAATACATCACCACCGATACCTAGCCAGATACCTATGGATATTTGAGCCGAGGCGGCGTCCTCAATTACCTACTAGATGAAATATGGGTGCAAAGTTCCACCCCTCAATTTCCTGTTGCACGCCCTCTGGGATCGCTCATGCGAATCTGGAATCAAAACGCTCGAAGTTCAAATGGCTCAGACGGCTCTTCCATGATACTTCTCAAAACGCCAGCGAGCTGAATCTCTCTATTCCGAGATATTTCGTTACGTTTCGATGATTCTTGAGCAGAAGAATCGCTCCCCGAAATTTCTTCTGGGCTCCGTCCTACATTTGGTCTTTGTGCTTGCAACACAATGCTGAGCTTCCGACAATGAGCTTTGACCGACATCGGTATCCTGCTTATTTTTCTTTTTTCTTCCTTTTTGAGCAGAAAAAAAATAGCGGAGATTCTAGCTTCGACTACCATATTGCATGCGTCAATAATAATCTCTGTAAGACGTCCGACTTTCAACCTGGTCGCGGTGGCTCGCTTCGGTAATTCCACGGCCACTATAGCGCGGGTCGTCTCCCGGAATTCTCGAAGCTTTTCTGGTCACAGCGTCTGACTATTCTTCGACGCGAGATTATCGATTACGAATAGGCCAAATAAGCCGATAACGGCCCTTGGAATCCTGGTGGGAAGAAACACATGGCCGAGACCCAATCGGATGCATTCGAAGTGATTATGGGTCTCAATGAAACGCTCCCTCGAGGGCCTCGATTTCGGAACGACTCCGATGCGGTGATTGTAATTAAGCTTGGTCTACTAATCTGATGCTGAAATAGCTCGCTCCGGGCCAATCATGAGAGCTCCGGCAATGCTGTCGACAGGCCACAGAGAATAGTGCCGCTCCGACCGGGGATAGACCATTTCAGAAATGGTCATCGCGAAGGGCTCCATCAAACTTTCTCGATGCCGCCCTATTACCTCAGCGGAGCGCTTCCATCGCGACGGTCGATTCTGAGCTCGAGAAATTCGGGTTCCGAGGATTAGATTCCGGAGCAGGGTCGGATCCCCTCGGAGGTTGTACGCAGCGACAATCATCGATGACTCTTCCGAAACCCAGAAACGTGGGATATCACCGTCGGAGTCGAATCCCGACTCCACTCCGCGCGATGGGACATCTCTGGAGCTCATTCAGTGCGAAGACTGCCGGGACGAGAAACCACGAAAGACCTCCGAAGTCTGATTTCTGTCCTTCCGGTTAGTTTATGGCTGGGTGTGGGTTTCATGAGTTCTATTGTCTCTTCTATACGGGGGGCATAAAGACAAGAGCAATCGTAGTGTCCCTAATATGGGCAGAGATTGCTAGAAGGCTGGTAATAATACTTGGACATAAGTGGTCGCCTTCAGCGTTGGTCGGACGGGGCCTCCGGTCGCGGCTCAGTCGAGGCTCCTCGGCAGTATTGAAACCTTATTGCTTTTAGTTGGAGACCCTACTGACTTTTACTGTGTAGCAGGAGGAGGCGGAAAGGCAAGCAGGAAGGCGAAATATTATCTGTCTTGCGCACTCACACTCACGTACACAGACAGCAAGCAGGCGGCGGGCAGGTCGCCCGGTCCTCCGGCCTGCTAGCCGGCCGGCCAGGCGAGCGAGCATCCTCGAGGGCCAGCAGGCTCATGGAGTTTTTATATGAACCCACCTGGGGACCTTTGCCGAGGCGGACCAATGGGTCTCGCTGGCCATTCCGGCCTCCTGTGAAATGGGGCCGTCTCCTGGTCGAGTTGTCTCTGTTCCTGCTAGTTGTACAGCGCGACCTTCGCGTCGGTCGGTTGCACTCAGCTCAGTTCGGACGCCTCGGAAATCGACGAGTCGCGGTGCTAATGGCCGACGATTGGGAACAAAGCGGGACTTCAGGGCTGAACATAGCGAATGAACATCGCAGTCTTCGAACACGACTCGAGCCATGTGCAGAAACGAGAATCCGAAAAGACGCACTTCCTCTGTTCAATGCATGTGCTCTCCGAGCGTATTCCCAAAGCTGTGATCCATATTTGTTGCGAGTCATTTGCGTCGCGAACGTTCCGAATAACGACAGGTCGAGAGTCGAGAGACAGATCGTTCCGAGCGGAACTTGTTCGGAGCGCCATTCGGGGGCTCTTGAAAATTTCTGCGAAACTCGACAAAGGGAGCCATGTCGTTGCGAATTTTTCAAATTCGTGGAGAAGAGCTCCGCCAGCCAATTGTCGAAGATGACGACCTCGAGGGATCTGTCAACGTTTGATGTTCTTCGAAGTGCAGACCTCGGCATTCTATCGAGTGCTCGACCACTACCGCTTCGACTTGTTCTGCCATTTGGGACGAAAGGTGCCGCGACCCATCTCCGAAGATGGAGCCGACGGATGATGATTTTGCAACGAACCGTTCCATCCATCAGGTTCCGTTTTCTTACAGTCAACTCCGCGGATTCGGACTGCATGAGCATCGGTTCTTTCGGTTAAATTGAGCGCGGGACCCGATTAAGAGAGGTCTGAGACACTGAACCTCAATGAATATGGACTCCGGATCCATTGTATGAGCGAAGGATCCGATTCAGCGGACTTCACTGAACACAGTGTTTTGATGGAGATTCTCATCCTCTATCGGAGTTGACCGTCAGAAATTAGCCGTTAGCCATCCTTTCCGTGTAGAACGGTACCCCGGCACAGATGATCGACCATTCATGCGTCGAATCGGTAACATCGAGTCATTCGAGAATGGACTCGTGGACAGAACATCAAGCGAGGCCATCGCAATCTATCTCGTAGAGCTCGCTAGGCGACGAATTGACCAAAGTGGAGGGAAAAGTCGGAGCGACTCTGGAGCGCACCCGACCTAGCGGCACGATATGATGGTCTTGTGTACGAATGTGTTGTATACGAGTTTTCTGAGAGACTCTGCTTGTCTTCCCGTTAGTTTCCACGCGTGTTTGTGTGTGTTTCCGTTGCGTGTCACACCGTGCAAACAAGAAGGGGCGCCGCCGCTGCTGCCGCTTTTCAGATAAGCACCTCCGGACCCCCTCCTAATGGGCAGACCTTTAGCGCAGCGAATAATCTACAAGGAATGCTTAACAAGGGAGAACATCAACGACGAACAACGACCGAACAAGCGGGCCGTGCGAGCCAGAGAACGAATCTCTGCTTCCAACACTTGCT